GGACTACTTTAGTTGACCATAGCTACTGCTCATCTGGAAATCATTCTTATATGTTTAATATCCATTTAGTTAGAGGTTTTTTTTGTTTTTTTTTTTTTTTTTTTTTTTTACAAACTATACCTGTTTGAATTTTTAATTATGTAGATTTAGTTATCAGCTCCCAGTGCAATTAGATCCTAAGGGTTATCTGTTATTTTCTTATATTTTTTTTCATGATGGTAATCAGCCACAGAAACCTAAAGCATTAGCATGTTACAGTCAAATGCCAGCCTCAGGAGCAGGGCTCCTTCAGCACAGTGAGGGTAAGAATTATCCACAGCCCTGGGCTACTTTAGTTCCCCATATCGTGATCCCTCCGCTCCTCCCATAACCTCTGTCTGCCTTTTCTATGAAAGATTTGGCCACCTTTTGCTGAAATTGGGTCTAGTGGTAACCATTTTTATACCTTTAATTAGCAGCGAAACACTTTCTCACTTGAATTCCTGTAGCTACCTGCTTAGCTCTTGTGTGTGCGTCACTTTGGCCTCAGCCTCTGTGACCTGGAGAGGTGTACACGTGGGGTTGCTGAAAAGCCCTCAGATGCAGAAAAAGCCCGACTCGCCCCACATCTCTGTTTATTTCTGGCAGGCATTCAACTCAGAAACAGACAGTTTCAAGCTGGCATATGGAGGGCACCAGTATCATGCCAGCTGTGCCAACTTCTGGATCAACTGTGTGGAACCAAAACCTCCTGGCCTCATCCTGCCTGATTTGCTCTGAAAAGCTCCTCTATGAAGCACCAACCATTTTGTTTTTTTTTTTCTTGTCACACCCCCTGGGGTGACAAGGGCCCCCAAGGGCCCAATAAACAGAATTCAAGTACTGCATCCATGAATCTGTCTGAAGAATTCCCCAAGAGGCAGGGTGGGGGGAGCGCTGTGGAGGGGCCCAGTCATTCCTGCAGGGCCTTTGGTCCCTCAGTCCCACCGCCCGTCTTTGGGATAGCGTGCAACAGCCCTACCTAAACCGCATGTGGCACCAAAAGTTTGCTCACGTGTCTCTAGCTCTCTTAAGATGTTTTAAAACATGGACCACAATTTTCTCTATCTAAGGAATGATTTACTGCTGCAATACTGAAACTGTGAAGAGTCGACATTTGAAGAAAAATATTGTCGTGGGACTGGAATTGGCAAGACTGTTTTGAGCCAGTGCTTATTTATTTCTAAAACACATTTTGTCCTGTGAAGTAGAATGCATTTATCCACATTCAGTTTGTTAATACCCGCAATGAATAAAAAGGGGAAATTGTGATTAAACTGATGCTCTGTCTTTTTATAGAGAAGGTTCTGCTGGTCTCCACTGGACAATGGCGGCAGGTAAGGGCAGATTTTACCAACTTTGCTGTCACAGCTGAACCAATTCTCTGCTCCTTTCCTTCATTTCTAAAACTGTCAACTCTCAAAAAGACTTTTTCCTAAAACATGCCTGGGCATTTTGCAGTGGTGAAGAATATTCATTTTGACAGAAGCCCAAATCCTGTGGATCAGAATGAATATCCTTCCCCTTAGGAGTCTTCGCTGAAAACCTGTTTTGCCTCACACAGAGACTGAACATGGATCTCAGACAAGACTTGGAAAGGCAGCGGAATGAAATCTTTGTGGTGGCCTGTCTCCAGATTTCCAAAGATACTGCATAGGGACCGACACTGCCTGACTTTGCAGTGTTGATAATAAAGACCTGAAAATTAATTCAGGTGAAAACGTGGAGTTCCCAGCCTAGTGAGATGTATATTTATGGTAAAGGTACATGACTTAGAAGCAGTGGAACAAATTGTTCAGAAACAGCACTGAATTTTAGAAGGAAAAGGCTCATGCTCTCTTGTTTGGGCAATTGTCTTTGCCGTTTAAACTGAATGCATAAAATCAGGGGAAAAAAATCTACGTGGCTAAAGGCTGTGCTATTCCTAGGAAGAACATACCGATCTAGGACACACATTTCTCTGGATTGTTGATTATGTGCTTTATGAAGAAATTCTAAATCTTGTTTGCTTCACTTTGTGTGACTTGGGCTCTCTGACCTAGACTTAGTTTTTATTTTTAAGCTGAAAAAGTTGCTTTTGTCTATATAATTGCTGCTTCTACATAATTAGTTTATTTTCCCCTCTCAGGACAAATTCTATCTTGTTCCATCTTACAGCTCTTACATTTTCTCCAAGAAAGGTGTGGAACGCTTTCATTAAACAGCTGTTAATGAGGCTTCTGCTCTACCTTGCTATGCACCAGAATGCAGAGATTCACTGATGAGATGCCTGTTTTTCTCATTTGCTCCATCTCCATGTACTAATGGCCGAGGCAGCTGTCTCTGAGTTGTCACCTTTAGAGCCGTTGCTCTCCACAGGGCTAAGTGGTGTTAGTAACACCACAGGTGGGCCCGTCTTCAGCAGGCTCCTCCCGAGGGCTCTGGGCTCCACTTCATCCTCGGCAGCCCGGGTGTTTCAACGTGGCGGCAGAATTCAAGCAGGCTTCTCATAAGTCTTGTAAATTCCATGACGGAACCACAATGAAAGAATCTACTTTTGCAATAAGAATGCTTCCCAGTTTGACAGAATTTATGTTGCTGAAACATTTTTTGGAAATGCTGTATGGACTGTTTTGGTCACAGTGGCCTACATCAATGACATTTTAAAAAGTAAGCACTTACCTGTTAACCAGATTGGTTTCTATTCCTAGATAAATTCCAGAATGCCTCAGATAAAATTCCTAAGTACAATCACCGCCTTCCTTACCAAGTATGATAGGTTTAGTCATTCCTTAGGCGATGCAAGAGGAAAATCCAGCAGGCGTCAACAAAAAGCCTTTGCTATGAAAAGTATCCACTACCTTTCATATCTGTTTAATACTTGAAATGCTTAATTAGACACTACCAATAAGGAGTTGGGGAGTATGGAATACCATTGTGCTGCTTTCCTTTATTTATCCACTTTTATTAAAATGACTCAACGTCGCATTCAGCTTTACCTCAGCTCTTCTCGTTAGCCAAGAGCCCAGTGTCCTTGGAAACCGTAACCAAGGTTACTTATTTCCATACTGTGTATTGTGTCAGGCGGCTTCACCCCACTGCTTGAGTGGCGATTAATAAGCAGTTTTTTTTTCTTGTATTGCATTTTGTCTTTCAAATTTTTATGACTTAAGTGAGTAATTTAATTTTTGTCTGGACATGCTTGAGATGGAAGAGATACAGGATATGTTAGGGTATTTTCCATGCTTTATTTTTCCTGTGGCTACTAGTTAGCTTTCCACAGGAGTTGTGTATTTTTAAGTATTTGAATATTTTGTGTACATATACATATTTTGAGGGTTTTTTTCAGTCTTATTTGTTTAAAGATGTCTTCTACTTGCCTGTTTAATTAGTGAATTCTCAAGCTTTGAAAAGATGATAGGGGCTGTATGGTACAGAAATTTGAAATGCTTACTTTGCCCTGGGGACCACTACAAAAATTCCCCTTAACACCTTCTCAGTCAAACACCTTCCTTTGTGAACAGCTAATAAACTGTGACATTTTCAGAGACATTTGCCATTCAGAAGGGAGCATTATAGACTGCTGGAGACCATTCCAGCAAATGTCAGAATGCAGGGCAAGATGTGTTTAGCCAGTGGTTTTTTAATGTTTAGGTCACTTAGTATTTCTTTGGAAAAGTGTGCACCAAATAACAATATTGATAAGCCCTCTCCTTGCAAGGTCAAGCTGAGGAAATAAAGCTTAAGTAGAATAGCTCTTGGCTGAAAAATGCCACTTTACAAATACTTTTCTAACAAAGTATCATTGTAACAAAATTTTTACTTACATTATATGTTGAAGTGAATATAGTGTAAGTGGCTAAAAATAGTATTCACATGTGATATCTCATTATTTTGTAGCCATGGGTCCATAGTGAAATGGGTTGTCTGGTGTGTGATGTGTAATTTGGTCCTGTATTTTAAAAGATGGTGTGGCTTTTCTCCTTTGTTTACATTTTAATAAACAATTGCCCTAATTGACATGTTTAAACATTATAAAGCTTGACCTCTAAAATACTTTCCGGGTCTGCTCTGAAATAACTACTTGTTAAACTACACTGACAGTAAAACACAAGTATAGAAGAATGTCATGCTACTATACTAGACTTTTGCTTGGTCTTTTCTTTGCTGGGTTAAGATTTCACATAGATGCAAGCCATTAGGATGAATGGGGGCCCCAGCACTTCGATGAGAAAGGTGTTAGGCTTCCCAAGCATGAAGAACATTCTTAGCTACATCCCCATAGAGCTGTTTGCCAGATTTCTTAGGAAATTTTCTTTAATTACCAAGAACATGTCCCCAGGTGTTTTCTTACTATATACAATGATTGTTTTGGAGGCCTTATTCAGAGCTACTAGACTTAAAGATGTTTTCATACTAAAGAAGCCATAGCCTCCCTGGATTATTTTGTTTTTATTGTTTTTTGATTATATGCTAATGTAGCATTTGTTGGTTCCTCTGATTTCCCATAGACAGTATTAACAGTAGTTAATTTTAATTTTTTTCATTTTTATTTTCCTATTTAGACAATAATGCATGTTTTTAAGAATGGGCAAGTGGCATAAAACAAGAAAAAGGAGAATTTAGATTGAAGACATTGCTACAAACCAGGTAAAATCTGGACGATACAATTTGTCTAAATATGTAGCTACTGGCATATTCAAGGCTTCCTGCCAAAATAGACTAAAAAATCTAGGAAATCATTGCACTGATAAGCAAGCTACATTCTACCGGACCAGTGAAGTAGAATAAAGCAGTGCTGTGACAGTGGTTCTCATTGTCTGGGCAGACTTCCAGGCGGCTCTCCCTTCTGAAAGTGAGGGGCAACCTGGTAAACGCCAGTGGTTTCCCAGGAATGGAATAGAAAAGAGCTCATTAAACTTCTACCACATCCCCGATGAGTTGTGCTGTCAAATTTACTAGGAGCAGTGAACTAGATGACATTTCCGAAGTTAAACAAAGGAAGCCATTGTTATTTGCTTATGACTTACATTGAGGTTTGGGTTAGGGCATTCCTCTGTGAGTTAATAGGCAGAGACACACCTTTTGTTGAAAACCAGTTCCTTTGAGAGAGGATTCACTGGTTTGGTGCATTCCACTTACCCAGAGAAAACTGAAAACAGCACCTTTTATCAGAGTGTACATCCTATACTATTTTCCAGTGTTGTGAATGATATACCTGCCCATCTGCAAGAATGTGAAACACTGACATGATTCGGCTGGGATGTCTTGTTTTAGGTAGTGTTCATAATCGTCACAAGAGCCATATTTTAGCACAATCATTAGACAGCATCTTTCTTCCATCAACACGCACCTTGAAATTATTAGTAAAAATTTTAATGTTAAGCAGATATATTTATTAAAAATAGTGCTAATATCTTGGGCACACTGATTCCAAGAGGGCTTTTGCAGCAGATTTCATTATAATTACTTAACAGCTAAATAATAAAGGTTTATTTAACTTACAGATTTACTAAATAATAGGAAAGGAAAGAGTAGGGCTAATCCAGTAGAGACTGAAGCTGGTATCAATCTTCCCTAAGCATCTGTGTGGTCGGCAGCCTTAGGCAAAGCTTGTCTCTAAAGGGTTAATCAGGGCCCTAAGTGATTTTTGCACTGAGCTCCTCCTGCACCTAACGCGGTGGCAAAAGGCATGGGATTCAGAATAAAGCAGAACCAGTTTATTAAACTGTTCAAATTGTTAAAAATGATTAAAAGCCAGTTCAAGATTTTCATAAACACTATTCCAAAATGTTAGTTTTAAAAATGTTCCTAGCAATGTATGCATTCCCTTTATGTCCCTCCCCTCCCTCCTTATCTCTTAAAATAAACTTGAATACCCAGTGTAAAAAACACTTGAGGGAGAACCGAAAGTCAACCATTTGAGAAGAAAAGTGAAGAGGGGAGCAGACAGTGTGTAGCAGATGCTGGCACTGCTCAGGGGCTGCTGATGCAGGCTTTGGTGGCATTAAATCCCCCAGTAAGGCATCAGGTGTCGGGACTCTTTCTCATAAACGTCTGGAACTATGCCATAAGGCGTCTGTACCATTTTAACCGTTGACTTCCCAAAGAGCTGGCGCTCATAGTCTATCAGCTGCCTCCAGAAGCCTACGTTGGGCCTGATGACAGGCCTCCGGGCTTTCACCCAGTTGTACGCCTCCAGCAGGCACACGTTGTGGAATTTCATCAGGTAAGCGATGCAGAGAGT